TCTTCACTTGAAACATCTCTGATAAGCAGATTTCACTGTTTACCTCACAAAGATATGTGCAGTGTGTTATTTTTACGGCTGTTTATTCACCTTTTAATGGAACTTTGTTCTTTGGGACACAATGGAATGTGATTTATTTAGTTGCTTCCTCCCCTGTGGCATCGATTAAGTGAGGTAGTTTAATTTCCATATAGTAATTTATAGAATGAAGTCGAAAACAAAGGCAGATCAATTTGAAAATAATTATGTTGGGACACCGGGGTGGCTCAGTTGGTTAGGCATCCGACTCTTGATTTTGGCTCAGGTCATGATCTCAGGGTCATGAGATTGAGTCCTGTGTGGGGCTCTTCTCTCTCTCCATCTTCTTCTGCTCCTGCCCATATGCTCTGTCTCACTCTCTCTTAAAAAAAAAAAATGAAAGAAAGAAAGAAAGAAGAATTATGTTTCTGGTGGAAATTACCAAAAACTGGAAGGAATCCATTTATAGGCTTCATTTTTGATGATTGATATCTACAACTTAGCTGAATTTGGATGGTTTTATTTCTGATTCCAAGTGGCATTGAGCAGGCAGGTGGGGGAAAGGAAAGGGGAAAATTTTAACCCTGTAGTATCACAATTGGCCCCAAGCAGGACATTAGGGAACACACTTGAGAAAATGGGAAGGAGCCCAAATATGAAGAGAAAAAGAAATGAGGGACAAATAGGGACAGAAGCAAGGCCCAGTGAGCAGGCCACCACTCAGGTCAAGTCTCAAGCAGCATGTGACTTATCCAGTGCAGTTCTTATTTTCTCAAATCACAGGGAATCCAATATGGTGGAAAGGAGCTGAAGGTATAGTTTCAGAGAAAATTTGGTAAATGTCTTGGTATTAGTTTCAGAGCGAGGTCACGCCAATCATTCTGTCAGCAGTCCAGGCAAAGGCTCTGAATGAAGAGAAAAATAAGGTCAAGAGACCCAGGCCGGAGAAGGTCAGGTAGGACTATGGCTGCAACTCAGCTTTGTCTTAGAAACTTCCAGGGATTTCGATGTCAGATGAGAAGTGACTGTCAGTCAAAACTCCTAGTTTTCTGGGAAAGCATGTGCCAGAGAGAGGGTCAACAGTTAGATGCTGGTTCAAACACGCAGGTGAGGCTGCCTGGCTGGACCCAGTGGCTCTCCTCAGGCTGAGTCAGGGAGATGCTTCCTTTGAAGCTACCCAACTGGAACGTGCTGAGGAAATGAAAGAACTTAAGTCCTAAGAAAACATAAGAGATTTTTTTATCCCTCTGAGAAATGGTGCCTCTTAAACACCTTTTATAGAGTCTGGGGTCGTTGCTTTTGTGGAAACAACGCAAAAGCCTGTTGTTGCTTTGCATTTCAGAATGTATGCATTTGTTTCACCAACCCGATAAGGAAACTTAAATTTGAAAGAGGACTTTAGAGCGTATCAAGGAGTATATTTTCCAACTATGCCCTTTATTGAATTTTTCTTCAAAATTATTAAAGTCTGTGTTAGCAGCCCTCCAGGAAACTCCCTTTCGTCCAGACCTCCCCCACTTCCAGTCACTACCCACCCCCCAGGGAAATCCCTGTCCTCTTATCTAAGGGTGTCGATTCATTTTGTCTGTTTTTGCCCTTAATACAAACAGCACCCTACAGCATACACTCTTGCATCTGGCTTCTTTCATGCGTAGTGCTGTGTGTGGAGGTAGATTGTGCATGCTCGTTGCCATATAGTATTCGTTGTCTGATTATGCTAGTTATTTATTGATTATTCTGTTGATGGGTATTTGAATAGCTTCCAACTTGGAGGCTATTATGAATCATGCTGCTAGAACTTTCTAGTCTATGACTTCTGGTGAGCATATATTCATGTTTTGTTGGTGCCTTATTTTTAATTGTAGAAACAGTTTATGATCACCACCCGCCTTTGATTCAGGAACTGTCTGGTTGTTGCTGTCAGACTTTAAACGGGAGCAAATGGGGGTCTCTAAGAGCAAAGCTCAGGCGGCTGGCGAGGGTGGTCAGTGTGGTTCTGGAATCCTGCATTAGCAAAGTGGCTCTTTCCACATCTCACCCCTTTCCATATGTTGTCTTATTTAACCCTTCCAACACCAACAGTAGTCCCATCCCCCCCCCATTTTATTTTTTTTTAAAATATTTATTTATTTGAGAGAGAGAGCAAGTGCACATGTGAGCTGGAAGAAGGGGGAGGGTCAGAGGGAGAGAATCTCAAGCAGACTCCCCACTGAGCTTGGAGCCTAAAGCAGGCTTGATCCCATGACCTCAAGATCATGACCTGAGCAGAAACCAAGAGTTACACACTCAACTGATTGAACCACCCAGGTGTCCCTTTTTCCTCCATTTTAGAGATGAGGAAACTGAGGCACACAGTGGTCAAACATCCTCCTCAAAGCCACATAGGCAGCAGATAGAGGAAATAGAATTGAACCCAGGTGGTCTGGCTCTAGAAACTGAGCTCTTTGTCACTCAGCCTTGTCACTTCTGTACCTCATCCTCCTGTCTCCTTTTTTTTTGCTTTTTTTTAAGGCCTCTAAAAACAACAATTTATTGTCTTTTTAGGGACTGAAAGAAGAGACAAGTTCCCAGGCTGACCCTTCAGCTTTCCTAAGGCCATATGGTCACAGCTCACGGTTCAAAAGTAGCATGTATTGGGGTGGGGTAGAGGAGGACAGCATCATTCTGGAAGTCCCCACCACTGCAGATCTCTGTCTCCGGGGGTGTGTCCAGAGCGGGAAGGATCTGGCTAATAGTCAGCCATGGCAGGTACAGTGTTCTATAGTGCCCTGTTCTCCTGGGGCTGACTGACTGCTTCTGGCTGGTGGGTAATGGTTCCTAAGCAGACAGGTCTAAGTCTGGTTCCAAAGTGTTCTGGGCTCTAGACGAGTGTCTGTGTTGAGGGCCGGTCTGGCTCAATAGCCCACACAGGCTGGAAAGCAGTTCCCAGTTGAAATAGATACTGTCCCACTAGGGCTCCCCCAGCTTAGTGTAGAAAGGGAGTGGCCATGGCCCCAAATTTTTTGAGCTCAGAGACAAAGGCAGCTGGGGTTCTAGCATCACCTCTGCAGAATCCCAAGCCTTCTTCACACTTGGCAAAAAGGCTGGTCCGTCCATATTTGAATATGCCTCAGGTTGCCGTCTTAAATGTAACCCTCCCATGACAACACATCTCCTTCTAGCTCTTTCCCCTCTTCTGCCCGTTACCTCCTTAGTCCGTGAAGGAGTTGTTTACTCATCTCCTCTCAGTTTCTTCACCTCACTGCAGCCTGAGTTCAGCCCCTACCACTCAGCACGTTAGATCCTGCTAAGGTCACCAGTGACCTCTCTGTTGCTAAGTCTAGTGGTTATCGTGTTGTTTCTAATATTGTTGATCACTCTCTCCTTGAAACTCTTCTCTCTTGACTCAAGTACGTTTCCCTGTTCTCATCCTATCTCTTTCATCTCTCCTCAGCCCTTCTCCTGGCAAATGCTCTTCTATGTGACTTTAACTATATTTCAGTGACCCATGCCTCATCACTAGGCTCCTTCTCTTCTAATTCCACACCTTTCCCCTAAATCAGCTCATCTCCACCTAAGACTCTACATTTACCATCTGCACCCTGAGCATCCCATGAGTTCCAAACTTGTATATCAGACTGTCCACCCCACCTCTCTGCTGAGTGTTTCCTGGGCACTGAAATTTAGCTTCTCTGGAATGAACTCATGAGTTCCCCCATCCCCAACCTGCTCCTTCCCTCGGGTTCCCGTTATCAAGTCTATGGTGCTATTATCTATCCAACTGCAGAGTCATCCTTGACTTCTTCCACTTCCCGGCCCCTGAATCCAATCATTCCCTAAGTTTCTTCAAAATTTCTCCTAGTTGAGATTACCTCTCAAATCTCTCTAGTGTCCCCAATTCTAGACTTAAGTTACTCTTCTCTCTGGCCTGGCTTAGTTAAAATCCCTTCCTGAAAGGTCTACTTACATTCCTTCTTATCTTTGCATTCTTCAAATTGCAGATGGAGTGATGATTGAAAAGTGCAAATCCAATCCCATCTTCCAGCTCTCAACTTAAAACCCTTCAAGCAGTGGCATCTTAATTGCTTTTGGGAGAAAGGTCAAAACCCTGAACACAAGTTGCAATATACAATCTTCCTCGTATGATCTGGCTTGTGTCTCTAGCCTCCTTTCCTTGGTGTCTGCACCCCGGCCACACCCACCACCTTTTGATCCCTCCCACTTGCTCAGCTTCCCCACCCCACACGACCTGCACCACTTCAGCACCCTCTATGCCACCGCCCTCTCTTCTGACCATGAACTCATCCTGCAGATCTCCGCTCAAACTTCACTTCCCTAAAAGCCCTCAGACAAGTCAGGACCCTCTGTTGTGTCTCAGAGCCTCCACTTCCCTTTCATAGAGCTGTTTGTGGTTGTAATTACTTCATTTTGTAGACTGTTGCTTGGTCAGTGTCCCCTGATAGAATGTCAAACCCCACAAGGGCAGAAACTATTCCTGTGTGGCTGTCTGCCCTATTTCCAGTACTCAAAACAGTCCCTTATCTCCAATAGGGGCTCAGTTGAATGAATTTTTCAACTCCACCCCTTCTGATTGGTCCTTACTCATATTTTATCAATATGTTTAGGCTGTTCATAAAAATCAGATTAGACTATGTGACTTCGGCCCGTGTGGCTACCATATTACCAGTATCAAAAAGAAATGGTTTTATACATTCAACATCATTAGCCATCATACAAAACCACGATGAGCTACTACGGCACGTGCGCTAAGATGGCTTAGACACGTGTTGGGAAGAACGTGAAGAAGTTGGAACTCGTACGCACAGCTGGCGGGAATGCAAAATGGTGCTGTCACTTTGGGAACAATCTGGCAGGTCCTCGATAGCGATGAACGTGGAGTCGCCATATGACCCAGCAATTCCCTCCCAGAAATAATGCCTCAGAGAAACAAACACGTTCACACAGAAGCTCGTTCGTGAATGTTCGGATCGGTGCTATTCAGGGACATCATCCAAATGTTTATTAACCGGTAGCTTGATCATTAAGATGTGGACTCTCCATACAATCAAATATTATTTGGCAGTAAAAAGAAATGAAGTATTTACTCATGCTGTGACGTGGCTAAACCTCGAGAACACGCTGAGTAAAAGAAGCCAGTCACAAAGGACCATGCATTATGGGATTCCGTTGTTCTAAAATGGAGAATAGGCAAAATTATAGAGACAAAAAGTAGGCGAGTGGTTGTCTAGAATCGGTGGGGTGTGGGGAAATGAGGAATGACTGCTAAAGGACATGTGGGTTTTTTTTTCAGGGATGATGAAAATGATCTAGAGTTGACTGTGGTGTCACATAGCTCTGTGGACATACTAGAAGCCAATGAGTTGTGCCCTCTAAGTGGGTGAATTGCATGACAAGTGAATTATATCACAGTAAAGCTGTTAAGAAGAGAAAGATCTGCATGTGGCTCCTCATTCCATTACCCTCTGCAGACCATGGGCCCCTTAGCTTCGTTTGCTTCGTTTTGATGTGACATTTCACGTCTGTCTGCTTCCTTGAGTTGTGAGGTACACCACAAGCGCAGAGCAGCTAATGGTTCTCAGGATTGCTGCGAGCATGAAGTGAGTTAACAAATGCCATGCATTGTGCCTGGCACATGGCAAGTGTGCACTAAACATTGCCTATTACTATCCGGACCCAAACTCGAAGATTGTATATTGTTACAGAAAAAAAATAGAGCCATGACTCATATTTTGCAACTTAAGTGGCTCTCATTTGTGTGCTTTTGCCAGGCCTGTCGCCTACGTTTAGTTTTTCCCCTTCTGGGAAGTCAAGGGCCCAGACCTCCCGCTGCTTCATCCTCACCCTATTACTACAGGGTGCAACCATATAGATGAACACGAGGGGGCAACATGTCATTGCAATTAGGAAAAAAAAAAAAAAACAAAACTTTTGAAACTCAGACCAGGTCTAACCCATCTAGAATACAGGGAAGCAGAAGGTCTTTCTTTGCTATAGGGCCTTGTAGTATCCTTCTGGAGGAGGGAAATATTAGAAAGGGGTCGCTGCTAGAAGGCTGACCACAGCATTGCTCAGATTTTACCCACATAGGCTGCCAAAAAGAGGCTTGTGACCATTTCCTCACCTGCGGCTCCTTGGGAACACTTAGCTGTGCCTAAGGGCTGGTCCCTCTGAAGGGAGGCTCTGCTGGGAGGCGCCTGGGAGCCTGCCCTTAGGACAGTGCTGCCTCCGAGCACGTCGTGTGGAATCTGACCTTGGGGATGGGGGGTGCAGTCGTGCTTCAGGCCCTCGGCTTCCCTGAGGTCGCTGCTGGGTTTCGGTTGAGGTAGCTGTGTTCCCACCTGGCATGAGTTCTTCAAGGCCAGGAGCCGCTCCGTGCCTCCAACTGTTGTGTCCCCAGGAATGTGCAGGGCTGGCGTGTCCTGGTGAGGCTGGATAAGTGTCTAGTGGACCAAACGATTCTATGACCTGAGCCTGGAAAGAAGAGGGAAATTCTGACCACCTTGTACACGAGCCATGGGACCTCCCCGACTAGGCCTGTTCTTTAATTTATTCTTCCTGTAGTAGGAAAGCAGTTCATGCTCCGAATGGAACAAATCAAGCCGAGAGAACACTTAACATACACACAATCCCATCTACCCAAATCTGGGGAATACCGCGGATTCTTTTCACTTTGTGTCGGGGCGTACTACATAAACGTCGCCCTGGGTGTGTGTGTAAACACGCGGTGTCGACCTTTACAGCAGCGTGGACCGTGCAGCTCCACTGCACGACGGCACTGTCTCCAGCTAATCCCCCTCTTTTGGGAACCGTCGTGGTTTCCACATTTTCTTTTCAAGAGCAGTCTGCCGAATACCCTCGGAGCTAAACCTCACCCCACATTCTTTATTAGTTCCTTTAGGATAAATTCCCAGAAGCAGAATTTCTGGGTGATGGGTAATTTACAGTGTCACCAACAGCGACAGCGCCCTTGATCGGATGAAAAGTTTTCATTAAACATCCCGCAGGAATTCGGTGATCTTGTCTGCGTAGTGTCATCACCACTCAAAACGTTTGGCAAACTCTGTGTTTGGTGATCCAGGCGGTGATGACTCACGAGGGAAAGTGAATCTTCCCCTTTCCTCTTGCCTTTGATCTCGGACCCTTCAGGAAAATCCAATTTGTCTCGAAAGGACAAAGAAAGCGACTCCGGAGGAGACTCCGATGAACGTGGCCCCAGAGTCAGAAGGTAAGATAGAGAAATGCAGGGAATGCGGGGCACAAGTGTGAGGTGCCCCAAGCCCGGCTCTCACCGTATGTGTCCAATGGAATTGTGTCAGAAGTTGAACAAGTAGTGTCAGCAGTGTCATGACATTTTCCACGTGTCTTCCTCTTGATTCTCTACCGTTTTGAAGGTTTTTTTTTTGTTGTTTGTTTGTTTGTTTGTTTCCCTTTTCCTTTCTCCTCCTCTCAGTTCCCCAAACCTTTCTGGAAGCTGGAATGCAACTACTTCCTCAGTAGCTAAAAGACCCTGCTGGCTGGCCACGGGGAAGTCAAGTCGGTCACGACTGGCTTTTTTCTTAAAAGGTTCCCAAGTTCCTCTTTCTTTAGATCTTGAGGATAAACACAAAGAACTAAATATTGAAAAATGTGTTTACAGGGCTTTCCTCCTGGGAGGGGAGAGAGCCAGCAGCACCACCTGGGGCTTAGTATTTCTGTCTTGGAGGCTGGGGTGGGGGAGTGGGGGCTCAGGCGTGGCTGTTGATCGACCGGAGAAGGGGTGCAGCCGTTGTACTGGTTTTTACTAAATCCTAGGTTTGTTTGCAGAGGTCTGGGGAGAGGACAGATTGGTCCGTGGAGGGAGGGAGGGGACCACAACGAACTCCAGCCACCCCTTGGTGCTGCCGTCCTATGTTCTGTGTGGCACAGAAATCCGCAGTGGTTCTGGGAAGCCTACCACGTCCAGCCTTCAGCCTGGTGATCAAGGCTCCTGCAGTATAACCTTCACCCCGCTTTTCCAGCCTTAATGTCTATGCCTTATTATTTTTTAAGATTTTATTTATTCATGAGAGACACAGAGGCAGAGACACAGGCAGAGGGAGAAGCAGGCTTCCTGCAATGTGGGACTCGATCCCAGGACCCGGGGTCACACCCTGGGCAGGAGGCAGATGTTCAACCGCTGAGGCACCTGGGTGTCCCTAAAATTTTTATTTATTTATTTTATTTTATTTTATTTTATTTTATTTTATTTTATTTTATTTTATTTTATTTTATTATTTTATTTTATTATTTTATTTATTTTATTTTTTTATTTTATTTTATTTTTTTATTTATTTTATTTTAGATTTTACTTATTTATTCATGAGGATACACAGAGAGAGGCAGAGACACAGGCAGAGGGAGAAGCGGGCTCCATGCAGGGAGCCTGACGTGGGACTCGATCCCAGGCCTCTAGGATCATGCCCTGGGCCACCCAGGCGCCCCAGTGTCTATGCCTTCCAGAAGCCCGCACCAATGATGCTTTGCATCCTTCTGGCCCGGCTGCTCCTAGGCCCCTGCAGTGTGGCGCACGGCCCTCCCCTGAGCTGCGCTGACACTTGCTGTCCGGTGACTCCCTGCCTCTGCGGTGTGGACACGCTGGTCTCCTCTTGCCCTTTGGGTGTGTGAGGGACTCCCCGCGCTGAGGGCCCAACTCCGACCAAAGGAGGAGGGAGCTGAAGGCCGAAGACCACCCCGACCCCTGTCTGTTCGGTGGGCAGTTCTGAGGCCCTTCGACGTGGCTCCTCGGAAGTCTCAGGGGCAGAGGCCCCAGGTGCCCACGTGGCGACTGGCTGGGACGCTCCTGTGCTGCTGTCCCTCCCGCCTGCTCCCCTCTCCCCAGCCCTCGCCACTATTCCCTGCGGGAAACGGCAGCCACCCTCCTGCTTGCTGCTTTCTGGCTATGTTCCCGGCTCTTCATCTCTCCGTTTCTCTAGTGTCATTTGGGGGCCACGGAGCATGTTCCTGGCCTGGGGAAGGGCCCTGAAACATAGCCATGAATGAGCCCCTCGCCTTGTTCTTGAGGAGCTGGTGGCTTGAGAGAGGAGGGGGGTAGCTAGACCTGGCTGTGGGGTGTGGCGAAGGCCATTCCAGAGAACCAAGAGGTGGGGGCACAGGTGATAGGACAGTGGATCCAGTTTGGGGTACCTGGGAGGTTTTGTGGAGTGGAAAGTAATTTGCTGGAAGAAAGTGGAGGAAGACCTTTGGGGCTGAGGGAATGCATTTGGGCAGACAGGCAGTCAGGAGTGCTTTATGTCTGGAACCTGTGGAATGTTCGGGGAGACGAAACGGGGCACGTGAGGAGTGTACACAGAGGAGTCTATCAGGGTCTGGGTGCTGCTACACGCCCAGAGGTCTGAGAAGGGGCCCGGAGTGACTTATGTGTCTCCTGCCTGGTTTCGTCCCTCTGTCCTGGGTGGCCCTCCCACTCCGGCCCTAGCCATTGACCGGGGTGGGCGTCTACATGGACGGACTTGGGACAGGCCTGAGCCTGCTGCGGCGCTCCCGAGAAACGAGGCCTTGCCTCACCTAGTTCATGGTGACGTGCAAGGGTTTTCTGGCATCTGTTTCTTGCTCGCAAGGAGAGCCAGCCGGTTCCAGGGCTTCTGGAACAGTTGGGAGTGGTGAGGTCTATCCTTCACCTGCCAGGAGAAGGCCCATATCGCTGCCCCGGTGCACGCTGTGTAGACTCTAGCTTGTGCATGTTTCTGACTTCTCTGCTGTGAAACAGTCCTGCAGGGGGCCTTTCCGCGCTCTTCCATCGCCTTGTGGGCCAGGCCACTGACTTCCAGGGCAGGGCATCCCGACGGGGCACTGACCCAATCAGGCAGACCCTCTCTTGAGGGCATTGGGTCAGCAGCAGTTGCTGGAGGGTAGAAATGAAAGGACACACGGAGAAGGCCCTGGGCAGAAGCAATGAGGACAAGAGAAGGAGGGCAGAGGGGTGCCGGGGGGTGGGGGCTCAGCTGATTGAGCTCCGGTTCTTGGTTTTGGCTCCGGCCACGATCTCAGGGTCCCGAGGAAGGGCCCTGCAGCAGGCTCCACATTCAGTGGGGAGTCTGCTGGAGGGTCTCTCTCTCCCCCCCCCGCCCTCCCCCGTGCACGCTCCCCCTTTCTCTCAAAATAAATAAATAGATAAATAAAATTAAAAAAAAAAAAGGAAGAGCAGCGAGGAGCAGGGTGCTGGCGACAGGGTGGGCAGGGGCGGCCTGGCTGAGTCACAGTGATGCAGCAGCGCTGGGAGCTGGGAGATAGCCAGGGCTCCTCAGGGGCCGGGAGGAGCCTTCCGTTTCTGGACCCCGCCCCAGACCCCAGATCCATGTGTCTGGCGGGGCCTGTGCTCTCAGGAGCCGATCCAGACCCTGCGCTGCCCGGGTCGGAGGCTGGCCCTGCCACCTACTGCTGTGTGAACTCGGGCAGTTACTTGCCCTCCCTGTGCCTCAGTTTCCTCGTTTGCAAACCGGGCTAATCCTGGTGTCCGCCTCGTGGGATTTCGTGATGACCGTAGGAGTTAGGGAGGAGCTGGGCACGTAGGGAGCGCTCTGCAGCCAGGTAGCAGTCTGGGTGTGGGCAGGACTCTCAGCTGGTAACTGAGGAGACTGTGAGGGACCGTTTGCAAATGTGTGGGTGACAGACAGGGAGCCCCCTGGGGCTAGGACCTCCAGGGAGGCTTTACCAGTTCCCGGCTTGAGGGGGTGAGGAGGGGCCAGTTAGCAGACACCCAGCGGTCTCGGGGGGGGGGGGACAGGAACTGGGGGCTGTGGTCAGGAGTGCAGCTGGGCCAGTCAGCCCTACAGGGAAGAAATGGGGGGGGGTGACACAGACCCCAAGCCCCACCCTCCCTCCCCGCGATCGCCTGCCCATACCACCCAAAGGCCAATCCAGCTGGAGGCTGGTGGGGAGGCGCACAGTCTGCCCGCCAGGGCCCAGGGTGGGGAGGAGGCCCGCCAGCCGGCGAGCCCCCCCACACCAATGCCCACTAACTGCTGCCGCTGTCGTGACGTTGCAGGAGATGCTTGTCCCCTCGGAACTGGACGGGTTTGCGTTCCCTGCCGGCCAAGCAGCCCGGCACGGAGCAGGGCCAGCGGGCAGCGGGAGGTGAGGCCCGGCCCGGTGGCGATCGGAACACGCTGCTGCCTGCCGCTGGCCTGGCAGCTGGGCCGGACCCTGCAGGCAAGGGGCCTGCGGCCTCTGTCCCCGCGCAGGCCGCCCGGGGCGCTGATGGGCCTGTGACAGGCACAAGCCCTCGGGTCCACCCTGAAGGCCATGCAGAGGGATCGAAACTTCCACAACCAGGGATCACTGTATTCTTTTCTTCAAGATTTTTATTCATTTAATTGACAGAGTGAGACCGAGAGAGAGCGAGAGACACACACAGAGAGAGAGACAGAGAGAGCACTAGCGGGGGGCGGGGGGGGGTGTGCAGAGGGAGAGGGAGAAGCAGGCTCCCCGCTGAGCAAGGAGACATGTGGGGCTCAACCCCAGGACCCCAGATCGTGGCCTGAGCCGAAGGCAGACCCTTAACCGAGGGACTGAGCCAGCCCGCGCCCCTGCCTGTATGTATCTAGTCAAGTTTATTTCGCCTACTCCAACAGCACCCCAACCCCCACCTAGGGGCCGCGGGGCCCAGTGGTAGAGCGGCTGCCTCTGGCTCAGGGCACCAGCCCAGGGTCCCCGGATCGAGTCCCGCGTCGGGCTCCCTGCATGGAGCCTGCTTCTCCCTCTGCCTGTCTCTGCCTCTCTGTGTGTCTCACGAATAAATAAATAAAATCTTAAAAAAAAAAAAAATCTCTCACCTAGGAAAGTAAAAAAAAAAAAAAAAAAAAGGATGAGAACGTGAAAGTGCTCGCAGAGTCCACAGAGGCGGTGGGAGGTTCCTTGTCCTGGTTGGGGCAGCCGGGCCCGAACACCCGGCCAGCAGGCCCCGAACCCCCGGCCAGCAGGCCCCGGGCGGCAGGACTGCTGAGTCAGGGCTGCAGGGCGCCCGCGGCTGTGCCCAGGCGATTAGGGAGCAAAACTGCTGTGTGGGTGGCTGGGGGGCACGTCACACCTGTCAGGGGCAGGACGTGCCCGCGGTGCCCGCCAAGAGTCAGGGTGAAGGCCTCCCCTTGCCCCCGCTCCAGGCCCCTCCGGGGTCAGCGGCAGGGGTGCCAGGCCCTGGCTCCCAGTATCTCCCTGACTCGGGTCCCTGTGGGCAGGCCCAGGCCCGGCCGTAGACAGGGGTCATCAGGAATGCCCCAGGGGGCCGGGATAGCTTCCCAGCCTCTGCCCTTCCCAGTCTCTGCCCCGCCAGCCTCTGCCCTTCTCAGCCTCTGCCCTTCTCAGCCTCTGCCCTTCTCAGCCTCTGCCCTTCTCAGCCTCTGCCCTTCCCAGCCTCTGCCCTTCCCAGCCTCTGCCCTTCCCAACCTCTGCCTCCAGCTCTGCCTTCCAGCCTCTGGCCCTCCCAGCCTCTGGCCCTCCCAGCCTCTGGCCCTCCCAGCCTCTGCCCTTCCTAGTCTCTGCTCTTCCCAGCCTCTGCTCCTCCCAGCCTCTGGCCTTCCGCACCGGGTTAGCGCTGCCCAGGGCATGCTCGTCGCAGTCCTTTCCAAGGTCTGTATTAGTTACTGCATGCTCTTCTTTTGGAAGTGGGTCTTTTTCTTTCTGGTACTTTTTTTTTTTCTTTTAACCATTTTATTTAGTCATGAGAGACGCAAAGAAAGAGGCAGAGACACAGGCAGAGGGAGAAGCAGGCTCCCTGCGGGGAACCTGATGCGGGACTCAATCCCAGGACCCCGGGATCACACCCTGAACCAAAGGCAGATGCTCCACCGCTGAGCCCCCCAGTGCCCTTTTCTTCCTGGTACCTTAAACAGTTTTTGTTTGAAAATGACACGGTGGCACTTCCATAAATGGACAGCCCGACTCACCCTCGATGAGTAACCATCCGCAGCAATGCACTGGAGCGTCTGGCCTCAGGCCTGGCTGACTGATTGGGAGCAGAGGGATTTCCAAATAACTCCATGCCTTTCCGTCCATCGGTGGGCCTGAGAAGCCTCTCTCCCCTCTATCGGTCTGGTCCTTAAGATCTGTAACCAGGGATTTGGAATTGGATTGGAGCCAGAGGGGTGCGGTGAGGGCGTAACAGCCAGTGCTCCGAAAATACACGTAAGCACACACACACGCTTAGTACACATCGCACCCATACCCATGACCTGTCGCACACAAGTCACAAGGAGAAATCCGTAGTACTCCCTGTACTGGGAATTCTCTGCGGTCAGTCAGCTCCTGGGGAGCCTCCCACTGCTCTTGGCTGGACTCCCCTCTGTACCATCTTGGGCTGAAACCGAGGAACAAGTCTAGATACCAGGTGGCTGGTACTAGGAAGGCCCAGAGTGAAGACGCAAAGACATTTGTCAGAATTTCACTAGTTTATCAATGTCCTCAACGACGGGAGCCAATGCTTTGCTAAACTGCCTAATGGTTTTCAGGTACTAGAGCAAGATTTCCTCACTGTTTGCTATGTAATGATTCCTATTATGACACACTTTTAATTTTTTTTTAAATTTTTATTTATGATAGTCACAAAGAGAGAGAGAGAGAGAGAGAGAGGCAGAGACACAGGCAGAGGGAGAAGCAGGCTCCATGCACTGGGAGCCTGACGTGGGATTCGATCCCGGGTCTCCAGGATCGCGCCCTGGGCCAAAGGCAGGCGCCAAACCGCTGCGCCACCCAGGGATCCCATGACACACTTTTTAAAGATGACTTTTTTTTTTTTTTTTAATTCATGAGAGACCCAGAGAGAGAGGCAGAGACACAGGCAGAGGGAGAAGCAGGCTCCCTGGAGGGGAGTCCAATGTGGGATTCGAACCCAGGACCCCGGGATCACACCCTGAGCTGAAGGCAGACCCTCAACCTCTAAGCCACCCAGGCGTCCCTATGACACTCTTTTTAGTTAAAGCTGTACTACTAGCATTTTTCTCCTCCCTTTTTAGAATTGAGACAAAAGTATAAGTGAAGCCATGATGGGGCGTGTTTGCTGCTTTCTGTGGTATAAATACTCACACCATGACCTGTTTCATGAGCTAATGGGCCGTCACGGAGCAGGATGCAGAGTTGAGGGGAGAGGCACCGTGCCTCAACCTTTCGGGTCCCTCCAGCCTATAGATGCGGTAGACACAGACAACCTGCACAGCCTAGCTCATCGTGCAATGTGACAAAATAATTGGGAAAATGAGAGTATTTAATTTTATTTATTTCATTGTAAATTTTTTTTAAAGATTTTATTTATTCATGAGAGACACACAGAGAGAGAGAGAGAGGCAAAGAGGCAGAGACACAGGCAGAGGGAGAAGCAGGCCCCATGCAGGGAGCCTGACGTGGGACTTGTTCCCGGGACTCCAGGATCACGCTCTGGGCCAAAGGCAGACACTCAACTGCTGAGCCACCCAGGGATCCCATAAATTTGATTTTTAATAATAGCTGTGCTTATCAATTGAATCTTCAGATTCCTCAAAAATTTGCTCAAAACTTGTGTCAGCTCCAGTATACCAGTGATTGTAACTTTAGTGATTGTAGCCCTGTCTTGAGAACAGGCAAGCTGGCTATGTGCCCTCATGGGGCCAGTGTCCAGAATAATCTTCACTCTTCTTACAGGGGCACCCTCCATTCAGCTCTACCTCAAAAGAGTAGCAGTTTGTCTCTCTCCTTATTTCTCTGACTTTATATACTCTACTTCCCTTCTTACTGACTCTGCTCCCCAAATAGTCCTCGAACATACCAGGCATGTCTACCCCAGGGCCTTGGCACTTGCTATTTTCCTTGCCTAGAATATTCTTCCTCTAGATGTCGGCGTGATTCACTCCCTCACCTCCTTCAGATCTTTGCTCAAATGTGTCATTCGCTCAGTGAAGCCCTACCCGACCACCCTATTTATAACTGCAACCTCTCCCCTCTGCTATTCTTCCACTGACTGTGATTTATTTTTATTCTTTCCCTGCTTTATTTTCCTCCATAGCATCAATTACTTTCTATATAATACACGATATAAAATCCTCCGGTATATTTTATTTATTTCCTGTTTTTGTCCCTGAGAATGAAAGTAACACAAAGGCTAGTTTTTTTGGTGTGTTTTGCTGGATCCTCTGTGTATGAAACAGTGCCTGGCACAGGGTACGTAGTCAATACATATATTTGTTGAATAAATGAATGATTCAGGAGTGGATGCCCAGTAAATGTGTATTGAGTAAACAGATGAATGAATGAATGAATGAATGAATGTTTCAAGTCCTGAAAGCACGAAGTTACCAGGGGAGATGTAAAAAAAAAAAAAATCAATCTATCTATCATCTATCTATCAGCTTTACTGAGATATTACTCACATGTCATACAATTCCCCATTTGAAATATACAATTCAATGGTTTTTAGTGTACTCAGAGTTGTGCGACCATCACTAATATCAATTTTAAAACATTCTTATCATTCTAAAAAGAACCCCATGCCCATTAGCAGTCTACTCTTCACTGGCTTGCAATATCCCCAGCCCTAGGCAACCATTAATTTACTTGCCATCTCTGTAGATTTGCCTATCCTGTATAGTTCACGTAAATGGAATCGTACAATATGTGACCTTTTATATCTGGTTCTTTCACTTAGCATAACATTTTCAAGGTTCATCTGCCTTACAGCATGTATCAGTGCTTTATTTCTTTATACTGATGAATGATAATCCAGTATATGAATATACCATATTCATTTATCGGTTGGCATGCATTTGAGTTTTTCTACTTTTGGCTATAATGAATAATGCTGCTATGAACATTCGTGTACAAGTTTTTGTGTGGGCATATGTTTTCATTTCTCTTGGATGTATACCTAGGAATAGAACTGCTGGGTCATATGATATTCTATGTTTAACATTTTGGAGAACTGCCCCCCCCCCACGATGTATGGGATTTTGAATTTCTCCGCATCCTCATCAATGCTCATTTGTATCTGTCTTTTTTATTATACCCATCTTAGGAGAGGTGAAATGATACTGCTTTGTGACTTTGATTTGCATTTCCTTGACGGGCTGATGACATTGAGCGTCTTTTCATGTGCTTATTGGCCTTTTGCAAATCTTTGGAGAAATATCTGTTTAGATTCTTTGCCAGTTTTTGAATTTAGGTTGTCTTTTTGTTGAGTTATAAGAATTATTTATGTATTTTGAATACTAGAGCATTATTAGATGTAAGATTTGTAAAAAGAAAACAGTTGTGAGCTGTGTGTGACACATCTCTTGATGGTATCCAGTGAAGCACATTTTAAACTTTGATGATGTCCAGTTTACCTCCATTTTCTTTTGTTGCTTGTACTTTTGGTGTCCTATCTAAGAAATAATAACCTCATTCAAACTCATAAAGATTTATACTTAGAGTTTTATAAGAGTTTTATAGCTTCAGCTCTCACATTTAGGTCTCTGATCCATTTTAAGTTAATTTTAACACGTGGTGTGAGGTAGGGACCAATCTCATTCTTTGGCATATAAATATCTAATCATTCCAGCACCATTTGTTGAAAAAAACCTATTCTATCCCTATTGAATTGTCTTGGCATCATTGTCTAAAAACGGGAAAATTTTAAATCAGATCTGTGTGATCTAATTTGCTTCTTTATGATTTATTTCGGTGGCAGCATTGAAAATTCTAGTCAAAGTGTATTTGGCATAAAATCCATTTAAAATAAAAAAAATCCATTTAAACTGGTTCAAGAATAGAGAAAATGCTTCTGCCTAGATTGCGATTTTTTAACATTTTAGTTTTTAAAAATTATTATTGAGGTATAATTGACATCTAATATTAGTTTTAGGTGCACAATGTAAGATTTTGATATTTGTATATATTGCAAAATGACCATCGGTATGTCTAGTTAATATCTGTCACCACACATAGTTACATATAATTATTTTTACTTGTGATGAGAACTTTTAAGATTTACTCCTTAGTAGTTTTGAAATATGCAATACAGTAGTGTTAACTATAGTCGCCATGCTGTGCATTACATTCCCATGACTTGCTTATTTTATAATTGGAAATGCATATCTTTGACCCCTTTCACCCACTTTACCCCCAGCTCTGGCCACCACTGATCTTCTCTGTATTAATGAGCTTGTCCTTTTTTTTTTTTTTTTTAAGATTCTACATATAAATGAGATCATACGGTATTTGTCTTTCTCTGTATGACTCATTTTATTTAGCATAATGCCTTCAAGGTCCATCCATGTTGTTGCAAATGGCAAGACTTTATTCCTTTTTGTGGCTGAATAAATATTCCATTTGTGTGTGTGTGTGTGTGTGTGTGTGTGTGTGTGTGTATCGCATTTCCTTTATCCATTCATCCATCGATGGATATTTAGATTGTTCCCATGTTGTAGCTATTGTAAATACAGGCATACCTCATTTTATTGGCTTCATTTTATTGCATCTTGAAGATATTGGGTTTTTTACAAAATGAAGGCTTGTGGAAACCCTGCGTAGAGTAACTTTTTCAGTGCCATTTTTCCAACAGCATTTGCTCGTTTATGTCCCTGTGTTATGTTTGGTAATTCTTGCAATATTTAAAACTTTTTCATTGTCATTATTGTATTTGTTATGGTGATCTGTAATCAGTGATTACAACTTGCTGAAAGATCAGATCATGGTTAGCATTTTTTAGCAATGAACTTTTTAAAGTTATGTACATTTTTTAAACATAATGCTATCACATATTTAATAGACTACAGTATAGTATAAACATTTATATGCACTGGGATACTAAAAAATCATTCTTCTTGCTCTAGTGTGATACTCACTTTATTGTGGTGGTCTGGAACTGAACCTGTAATGTCTCCGAGGTATGCTTATAATGCTGCAGTGAATGTTAGGCTGTGATCTTGAATTATTCTTTCCCATTAAAAGAATCGAAGCTTCCTCAGGGACATAGTTGATGCTAGCTTGAAGGCAGGAAAGAAATGAGATGACTCTGGAACATCAAAGACTATTAAGTCATATTAAAAGAAACCAGGAATCAAGCTCAATCAGCATTTACCAGGCCAACATGGAATGCTGTGATTGTCAATAAGGATAATACCTACAATGGTTTGAAATACATAAAAAAAAAAAGTTTAAATCCATGATACATAATGATATTTTCAAAATGTTGCTTTATTGGTTACTTTGGAGGATAGAAATTATCTTACTACTTTGTAAACTCATGAAGGAAAATAAGCATGTATCTTACCTTTCCTTTGTAAAATGTACTTTTAAATAGTTGAAAAGGGGGGAAGTCTCTTTTACTATACAAGTTTTCTAGCTAATAAAGATGTAGTGATGGATTTGGAAAATATAATTCTGTCATCCCTAGTAAGTGAGTATGGGCTATCACTGGCCTGGTAACATAACCGATAGAGATTGATGGATTGATTGTTTTTTGTCCTTCCTGTGATGGAAGTACACAATACCCTCACCACCTATGAAGCAGTCTCATTTAAAAAAAGAAAAAAACCAAGTCTGACTTGATTAAGCCTCTTGTCTTAACCACTGATTTAAAAGAAATACAAAGTGCAGAAGATTCTGTTAAGTGATCATCTGGAGATGCAACGAAACTACAGCAAACTGTGATCGGAAATCCGGGTTCTTGAAAAAAGAGTTTCAGAGAAAGAAAAGAGATGGAGAGGGAATCTATAGATTAAAAGAGATGTAACTGCTTTATCAATCATGATGTAGGATCTCACATGGATTCCCATTCAAACAGAATACATCAACCAGAGAAATAAGAAATCTGACTGGGTATTTGATTACATTAGGGAGTTAATAATTTTAATCGGTGTGATGACAGTATTGTCATGTATCTAAAAAAAAAGTATCTATTTTTTAGATACTCTATGCTGAAGTTTTTGGGGATGAAATGATATAAATACCTGGGATTTTATTTTAAAAATCCACATGTGGAGGGCACCTGGGTGGCTCAGTTGAATGTCTTGATTTTGGCTCAGGTCATGATCTCAGGGTGGTGAGATCAAGCCCTGCATTGGGCTCCACACTCAGTGGGGAGTCTGCTTGAAGATTCTCTCTCTCCCCCTGCCCCTACCTGCTCTCTCTCTCTCTCTCTCTGAAATAAATAAATAAATCTTAAAAAAAAAAACCCACATGTGGATGTAGGTGAAAGTATAGATGAAGCAGGATTGGCCAAGCGTGGATAATTGTTGGAGTTGGTGATGGTACAACAAATTCATTACATGGTCTTCCCTTCCTTATGAAAATTTCATAATAAAAGGTTTTTAAAAACATTATAAATCTTGGCCACAATAATCACAGAATAAAAATCAGAGAGAGGAAGTGTGTGCTACTTTTTGTAATGGTGGTGGTGGGAGCCAATACAGTCTAAAACTGAGAAAGGGTAAAGAGTAACAAAGGGGGTTCACTGGGAAGGCATAACAGGCCATCTCCCAGATAGCTTAGAGCAGGAAGGAAAAGGAGTGTCACTGGGCTTTGTGGGGTGAGGATTGGGACCTGGAAGGGTCGGCAGTGTGGCTGCTCCCTCCACCTCTCAGAGCCCCTTGCTCCCATGTCTCTGCTTCTCTTGCTGGGCTTACCTTGGCGCAGCCCCACTTCCCAGGCCTGTGGGTACAGTGCCCACCACAGACAGTCTTCCATTCTCTCAAGAGAATCAGGTTGGTTGCTGCTCAGCCAATGAATGGGCTGGCCTTGGGTTAGATCATTACCAACTGAGGCCAGCTTTGTGAATTTGTGGGGGTGTGAGTTATTGGGGTTTGCATAGAGTTTTCCAGAAACTAGGCAAATTCTCTGGAAGGAGTAGGTTTAATCATGGGCTGGCTTTAGGTGTGCAACTTAGCTGGGACAGGGATGGATCAGATAAAGGAGAGGCTAGAATTAGGAGATCAGACAGGGTACTGTTGGACTCAACAAATATTCACTCGATGCCTTCTGTGTAAATAAGCTTGGGTTAGGGGCTGGGGATGTAGGGATAAAGGAAATATGAGAGACGGAAAACTCTGTAAAGGGGATGGGGAGGTGGACAAGGCTGGCCTAGGCACTGAGTGCATTGAGGTTGGTCAGGGAGAGGCTGGTCCTTTCTCTTTGCACATCCTCCCAATTGCCTCAACCCTGCAAAATCCTGTCCAGCTCTCAAGGCCCACTGCATACACCACCTCTTCCAGGAAGCATTTCTGATCTCACTTTGAACTCCATAGCAATTTGCACGTCCTCTGACTGTAATTTGCTTGGTAATGACATAGTTTGTGTAGTTGCACATTTTGTGATCTTAATTGGCCTTTTTTTTTTTTTTTTTTATCTTCTGCTTTCAGCCTTGAGCCAAACTGTGAGAGTACCTGTCCTAGCCACCTTTATAGGTGGGTGGGCCTGTTGGAAGGCCCCCAGTCCTGGGCTTCAATCCCATTTTCACCACTTGCAAGTTGGGTGAATTTAAACAAACTCCTTAGCCTTTCTGAGCTTCACTTTCTTCACTTGTTAATGGAAATGATATATTCACCTCAACTTGTTTATGAGAACGAAAGCACGTCAAGGATGTAAGAGCACAGAACCAAGCCACAGAACAATTGGTTGGTGTGTACTGAATGAGGAGGAACAAGTTAGGCCTTGCACGGTGAGTAGCATTAGCACAGCTGGAGAGAGGAAAGTGCATACCTCTGGGTATGTATGCCCTCCCGTCCCTTAGGGGACAGGGGCGAAGGGTGGGTTGGCCAGGGAGAAGGGTAGCAAGTGTGCCAGGCTCTGGAGGGGGCATCTCTTCTTGTCAGCAGAAGCCTCTGTAACTCTAGGGCTCGGGTAGCCTGTGTGCTTGTCTGGTGTAATGGAAACTCTGCCTTTGAGCTGCAGTGTGCCTCTTTCTTGGTATCACTGTCCCAGGGACTGGAGCCAGTAACTGGAGCGGTACTTCGGGCTTGTCTCGCAGGAATTAGAGATGGACAGTCTTCTAGCCATGCTCGATAGTGGCCCCTTGGTTCTACTTGAACCCGATATTTTCCTGGGGGGGTTTGTGACACCAAATCTTGGAGGGTTTCCCCCACCTTGCAGCCACTCTTAGAAGTGGCATTTCTGGGGTCTGGGTCCTCATGTGTCCTCATGTGGCAGTCGTGTGACGTGGCCTGAGTCTCACTCTCCTCCACCCAGATGATCCCTCATGGTCTTCTCACCATCCATATGGTGCTGACCCCCCCCAAAACGATACCTCCACCCTGGCCTCCCCACAGAACTCCAGACTCAAGCAGCTGTCTGGGTCCTGCCTTCGCCCATGTGACTCTGGAGTCTCCCTTAAACCAGCTCTTTCCTCGGGTCTTGTTCATCTCAGCAACTGGAATTCACCTTATTTCTACCAGGAGAAACCTAGGAGTGATCACCTTTGGTTCTTCCCTTTTTCTGAGTCCAGGTCCCCATCTTCCTATCCAGTCCTTTGCGACTTTTACCAACCCTACTTTTAAAATTCAGCCCAAATCTGAGGCTCAGTCAGTCAAGTGTCTGACTCTTGGTTTTTGGCTCGGATCATGATCTCAGGGCCGTGGGGTTGAGCCCCACTCCAAGCTCAGTGGGGAGTCTGCTTAGGATTGTCTCTCTCTCTCTCTGCATCCCCTGCCACAACCCAGTACACATGCTCTCTCTCTCTCAAATAAATAAATAAATAAAACCCACAGAACTCAGCCCAAATCTGCCCACTTCTATTTAGCTCTCCTCCACCCGTCCTTGTGCACGCCATAATTCTGTCTCACCTGGACTAATGCGATATCATCCTAAATGTGCCCACTCTTGCCCATTACTACCATTTTTCTTTGCTGAGAGCTGGAGCCAGTTTTTAAATTCTGAGTCAGATCCTTCTTAAATTTTTCCAGTGGCTTCCCATTGCACCTGGGAGGAAATCCAAGCCCCTAGCCTTGGACTCACAGGGCAAGGATCTAGCTCCACCGACCTGCCCTCAAACTATCTTCCCCATGTCTGTTGTGCTTTGGCCTCACTGGTTGGTTCTGCCACAGAACCTCTGTCCTTGCTGTTCTCCTCTTGCCTCCGTGCTTCCCTCCAGGTGCTTTCTCCTTGGCTTTCTGTGGCCACTCAGTCTACCGTAGGCACCTGGTCATCTCTAGCACCTCACTCCATCTATGCTGTCTGCACAGCACTTCTTACAGTCTGCTCTTTTCTTGTGTGTTTTGTTATTTATTGTTTGCCCCCCCCCCACTTGAGTATTCGTTCCTTGAGAACGAGCATGGGCCTATTTTTGTTTACTGCTTTATCCCCAAGACCTAGCATGGGGCTAGTGCACACTAGGGGCTGAGGGTCTGGGATTTGGTTTCACCCAATTTACAAGCTAGTAAGTTAGCCTTTTCCTAGTTCAGGGAGGTTGAAGGAGACATGAGACTCCAGGGTCAAAAACACAGGAGCTTATTAGTCCCAGGATAGCAGGCCACATAGCATCAGCAAGCTTGCTTCAGGCTCCCTGGCCTCCAGTTCTCATGGGAGACACTGCATGGGTCAGACGGAGGCTGTCCACCCAGTGATTTGGTGTTGTGGATGAGGAACCCTGGACTTGGGGAAATTCATGCCCTTTATAGTAAGCAAGCCTGCTCTTCATCCCCAGGGAAGGCATTATTACTTCATCCCTCAAGCTTGCCTGCTGGCAACACAGCCCTGTGAAATGGGCCACGTAAAGACCAGTCAGGCCTGGTATCCCTGGTATACTGGCAAGGTATGCAGGAGCAGGAGTGTCCCACAGAGGAGCGTCCCCCCAAGACGCAAGTCACAAATATTTGTTGAACAAATGAATGAATGAAAGTAACCCTGTCTTGTGCCCAGGTACCAGGTGCTGATGCCTGCAGCTGGACTCACCTGAGGTCAACACCTGCCTGGATCCATGCCTGTCACTTACTCTTGGATTCGCCTCTACCATTGCTCTTCTCAGCTCTCGTGACCCCTCACTCCTACCTACACTGAGGCTGAAAGCTTGTTGAAGTTGGTAGTTACTTCTGTCAATGCCTGAGCCAGATTCCATCTGCTTGCTGGACCGGCCTCTCCCCCAGGGTTTGTGGCTG